AGACCAATCTTTTAGCATAAAAAGTGAAAAATGAGTCTTTTAGCAGACCAACGTACAAAACTGATGCATGGATTGATTGGCAGACTCAAAAAGACGCTCAATCAAGGGTCAAGCGGGGACCGATCGTTTAGCAGACCAATCTTTTAGCATAAAAAATGAAAAATTAGCCTTTTAGCGGACCAACGTACAAAACTGATGCATGGATTGATTGGCAGACTCAAAAAGACGCCCAATCAAGGGTCAAGTGGGGACCGATTGTTTAGCAGACCAATCTTTTAGCATAAGAAAAGAAAAATTAGCTTTTTAGCGGACCAACGTAATAAACTGATGCATGGATTGGTTGACAGACTCAAACAGACGCTCAGTCTTGGGTCAATTTTCCCAATTATGACAATTTTCTCACAATTTGTCTGCAAAACTATCAACTTCAAAAACCACAATAGTCTAAATTAGCGGCAAAACAATGATCTACGCGCACAAAATTACTCGTGTTGAATGGAAGCGCAGCGGAGCCAGCGGTCGCTAATCGCCAACGCCGCATTTGAAGCTAGCTTTCTGAGTTGCTAATTGTTCTGAGTCTGCTAAAAGATTTGCTTGCTAAAAACTGGTCTGCTAAAATCCCTAGCACTGGGTCAAGCTTCCCGAATAAAAACTGGTCCCCCTCTGTCTCACAACCCACAGAATTTTCAGGGTTTATCTTTCATTCTTGTGCATTTACATAAAAAACAGTTTCATCAAACAAACAAGGTTTTTTCATATCTTACTGGCTGGTCGTATTTCAATCAACTTTGAAAAATCAAAGTTTTTGAGAGATTTTTTGCCCTGAGCTTTACATCGGAAACAATCCTCGAAAAAAATGGCGGATTGGAAAATAAGTTAAAGAAGACAAAACGAGCTAGATTTGTGAGCAAGTCTGATTTTTTCCCCTAGTTTTAAAGAAAAGGGAATATCTATGCTTGGTGTGGTTTATTTTATCCAGTCCATTTTTGGCGATCGAAATATTAGTTTTCAAGAAAGACTTTTTATGCTTTTTTGAAGATATCGACTTCGTAAAACAAAATTTAAAACATTTTTCCCCCCGATCTTTTTTTGCAACTCTTGGGATTATGAAGTTTGCCATTTAGGCCATGCTCTAGACTAAATTATGCGCGCATTGTAGATTTTATCCTTAATCCTGAAAATGGGTGCCGGACATCAAGCCAACGAGACTTTAAGCCGAATTGTAAAATTAGGGACTTCAAGCCAAAAATTTTCTCATTAAGTCATGAAATATGATTAATTTGAAAACTTTTTAGAATAATTTTTCATTTTCATAATCTTTCTCCAGTAATTTTTTGCATTTTCAAAACATTTAAGCCTCCGAATGATGTTAAGGAAAGTTGAAAAATAAAACATGGCTGAGGGCGATTTTCTTGTTCATAGGCTATGCTTTTCAAAAACCGGCTGCTATTATTAACGGATGCCAATCCCAAGTGATTCATTGTCATGAATAAAGCGCTTATTATGCACTAAATTTACCTACAATTTTGAAAAGCAACGTTTTACAGATGAAAAACAAGCAATTTGAGGTGCTTGTAAAGTTTAAATTTCGGCCTGAAGTCCCTTTGGCTTGAAGTGCCGTCGGCTTGTTGTCCTAGACCCCCTGAAATTGTACCTCGAAATGTTTATGCGTTGCGAATTGTCCCGCGCAAGAAAATTGTTCCAAATTGAATTGAGGCTTGCTAATCTGTCATACTAATTTCGTACGACTTCAATTTTTACACTTGATATTGTCCAAAATTTATAGTTTTTCAATATTTTATGTTCCCAAAAATCATTCGATATGGATTAAGGGGCAGTCGGAACATTCAAGCTTTGCCCTCATATACAAGCAGTTTTGTTTCATTTAACAATTTTTCACAGCGACTAACGTAGACATAACTTTTTCTTTGAGAGTTTTTTGCCCTGAAGCTTATATCGGAATAAATCCCCGAAAAAATAGCAAAATGGAAATTAAGTTAAAGAAGACAAAACGAGCTAGACTTCTGAAAAAGTTTGATTGTTTTCACAAATCCATCAGAGACCAATTCAATTATCACGTCAATCAATAGGGGTAAAATCGCAGAGAGAGATGGAACTAACGTAACATAATCAAATCTACTGCAATATAGAATAATGACATAAGGTCACGTAAATAATGTCAACTACTCCACGCATAATTTTTGCAAAATAATACCTTCAAAAAAGTATTGCATATGTTTTATGAAACTAAGGCCATAGTCGCTGAGCATGAAAGTTAAAATGTTCCGCCTTTATTGATCACTGCAAAAGTTTAATTTTGAACCAAAAATCAATGTTTTTTCAACGTTTTTGAATTTCTGTGTAATTTAAATATTTTGGCTTTATTTCTCGGTTTGGTTACGTAGCAGTATTTAGACAACTGCGTATTCAGACACTTCAGTATTTAGACAAATACTGTTTTAACCAATCATAATTGAGACAAGGAAGAAATTAATTAATAATTATTATTTTTTTCGGATTATTTATGTCTTATCTCGATTCTGATTGGTTCATACAGGATTTGTCTAAATACTGACGAGTATGAGTACGCGGTTGTCTAAATTCAGACCGCACTCCTCTCGGTTTATCGTCGAGAAAAGAATTGATGCAGCTTTGCAGATGAAGCTGTGCAAATAACAAAAGTTGCTAGAAATTTGCAGCTTTAACTTGGTACGTTAGAAAAATTTCTAAGGTGCCATCTCTTAAAGCTGTAATTTTTACAATAGTTTTAATCACTCATACACTTGAAATTTTGAATAAAATGCTCAAACTCACATTACAAGAAAATTTTAAGCAAACATATCACTAAATTAGACATCGAAAAAATTGAGGTTCCCAGATGTTTGGCGTCAACTTTATTTGTGTGTGAAAAAAATTAATTGTTATTGTTCTTGTGCTTTTATTGTTATTGGCCTGTTTTCTATAATGCTATGCAAACGCTGGAGTGCAGCCAGTATTTAGACAGCCGCGTATTCATACTGGTCAGTATTTAGACAAATATTGTATGAACCAATCAGAATCGAGAAAAAACATAAATAATCCAAAATAAATAATTATTATTTAATAATTTCTTCTTTGTCTCGATTCTGATTGGTTGAAACAGCATTCGTCTAAATACTGACCAGTATGAATACGAGGTTGTCTAAATACTGACATGTAACCGCAAACGCTGCCTCAACCTAGACTGTTAAACCTATAACAACTTCAAGACTGACAATTATCAAGACCTCTAAAAATTAAACTTTTGCTTAAAGTTTTCATGATGAACTTTTTCAAACAAAGCAAAACAAAATGGATCTGGGCAAAAACTTGAATGCTCAGAGGGCCTTAGAAGACTGTTAAAAAATTTTGATTAACTCTTTTCTAAAAATATTTAATTGTCAAACTAATTTAAAAACATTGAAAATTTCACAAATTTTCTAATGTACTAATTTGATGCATTTAGAGTCTATAAACTTTTTAAGATGACAAAATTAAAGTAGAAGAATCTCTGATCCCTATTTTCACTTAGTGTTTGCACGATTGGGTATTTCTAAAATCAATCTCATTCAATTTATTTTAGCTTATTTTATTTAGGCTAATGCAAATTTATTTTAGCTTATTTCAATTTTTTTATGTTGAGCTCATATTTAATAAATTGTCAATAACCGAAACAACGTCACATTTTTGGAAAAAAACTCAATTTTTTGTGGAAAAAAAACTCATTTTTTGCGAAAAAATCAAATTTTTAGTTTTTTTGCTTCAAATCACCGATTGTTCTAATTCCACAAACTGCACTGTCCACACTTGCTAAATATCTGTTTTTAATTGGATTAATGTAATTCGAATCTAATAGTCAAGTTAAAAAGCTGTACGATTCAATACTTATCAAAAACGGTGCAATTTTTATGCAAAGAGCAATTTGGCAACCTATCGCTCTAATGGAAAGTTTGGCAGCATGATGACTGCAACCAAAACGACAAAAAATTTTTTCGTTCAATTGAACCATTTGGGTTCTACGAAGCAAAAATCTACATGCAATATGAATATGGCGATTAGGTTTTCGCTGTCAATCATCGATTTGATAATGAACCCCAGTTTAACTGATAATTCAGCAGAAATAAATCACCAAAATGATAGGTTATGTCAAGCAGACAGTTCTGATTGTGATAATCTTCATAAAGTTGATGATTATACTGTTATAAAACAATGAAACATGTTCTTCACGCACCAACATTATTTTCTTCGTTGAAACTGCAGGCTGGTCACATTATCTATTCAGCTCTAAAAAGTGAAACTCTGAGTAAACAAGGCTGTTGAATCATGGACGCAACTAAGTTTACACTGCAATTTACGACGCCCATAACTAACCAATTAATGTGTACCCCCTTTCATCCGTGAAGTTAGGGCGGGTGGGTTTAGTAGTTTGATTCATTGCTTGTTGACCGATCGTTACATCAAGACCTTAACTACTCTACTAAGAGCGCCGTTAACTTTCGAAGTCAGACTCTCTGGTTTTTAAAGAGGCGCGCGCCTGCAAAAAAGCAAAAACAAACTGACTCTTAACTCATTCAAGTAAAAACTCGTTGGTATTTACAAATCACCAAAAAGTATGCGACATCAATTTGTATTTTTTTTTTCAAAATCTGAAAAATGGTTCCTAAGATCAATTTAGAAACGGCTGTTTCGATTGAGTTTCTCAAGTTCAACTTTTTTGGCCCGAAAGATCAAATAAATTTTCAAAAATGAATTTTAAGGAAGTTATCATTCCAGATCAACCGTCGAAGGTCATACAAAATATTAATATCCTTTTTCATATTTTGCATTTGCAACTCTAGTTGCAAAAAGTCTCATTTTTTCTCGAGTTTGAAAATGTAAATGCTGAACAAAATTTATTGGCCCGAAATAATTTACGCAAGTGAATCAAGATGAAAATAATAAATAACATACGAATTTAAAAATAACAGAACAATATTTGAAATTTAACGGCATCTAATTGACATTTTATTTTATAAAAAAAATCACGAAACCGGAAAATAATTAAGAGGTGAGATATCTATTTGATAGATTCAACTTGAATTGAATTGATTAATTTTTACTGATAAAGCAAATCAATGGCAATGATTACGAATGTAATTGAATAAGGCACAAAACATGAGAAAAATTCAGGAAAGACAATACTACAGTACAAAGACGTAAAGACAATGAGACAATACATACAGTACAAAAGAATCAATCAACTAATTAATTAATTAATTTATTCGAGAGCTAACTGAACTGCGAAGACGAAAAGAAAAGAAGACAACAACGAGAAAAGCTAACAAAAACATCACAGAATATCAAAGCATGTGCAAATTGAATTTTTTTGATAATTTAAGGTAAATTCTGGCAATGATAAGTTATTTAGCATCTGAGAAAAGGCGAGGGGTCAGATCAAAACATTGCCGACCAATGATTGGCACTCATTGATACAAACTGTGGAGTCAAATAGCGCTGGGGGTTACTGGGCAAGGCATCATAGTCAAACCAATTTTCAAGTGGGGGGGGGGGGGGGTTTACAAATTGCGCATTTCTGAATGTTTTTAATCTATCAACTACTCTAATCTAGAGTTCACATATTGTGCGGTCGAGATTGAGACATGATACTACTAAAGGTAGTGTCAAGCTTGCAGTTTAAGTCCGCTTCCCGTCTCCATGTGTAGCTTAGAACTTGTTGTGAACCCCAGTAGCGTTGTTTCCCGCTCCATGTCCATACAGATGAGCCACGTTGAGCAGTGCCGCAGCTGCTGCCACCTGATGATTCGCAGAACCCAGCTGCGAGTGAAATGCACCTGCCGACGATAGATGATGTTGCGCCTGGTGATGCTGATGGTGATGGTTCAAGGATCCCCCTCCCAGGTGGTGCTGATGATGATGTTGATGACCTCCCGATGACATACTTGAGACGGTCGAGGACATGCTTGCAGAAGGCGAGTAGGAAGACGAGTGAATCATCGACATGGACATCGATGGCAATCCGTGTGGTTGCAAGTGTGGGTTCGTTAGTCCGGATGTCGAGGAGTTCGGACCCCTGCGACTGGCAGTGGAGTTCCTTGTTTGTTTCAACGCCTTGATCGTGGACTCGTTATTTCCTTGAGGACAGTACTTGATCGTGTGCGCTTTATCACCCGAAACTCCGCAAATAGGACATGTGTATGCCCTCAGAATGGGACATACTATGGCCCCTTCTTCATTTTTGAGCACGTGACTGCTGAACACAGACTCCATTTCTCCGTTGTTTTTGCAGAAGACACACATGCTTTTGGCTGTCAGTTTTCGCGCCAGTTGAACACTGGGAGGCAATCTTGAAACGGACGAAACTGATCCAGATCCTAGCCCCATACTTCCAGAGTTAGAGCTACTACTTTGATTCATAGCAACGTGCTTGGCCAAGTTCAGCTGTAAGTGTTGCGATGTGACCACTGGTTTCAGAAGCAAGTTGCTTGACCTGCTTTGGTGCCCACTCGCCGACGTTCCGGATCCCGACGCTTGGCCTCCGACAGAACTTCCACTGGATGAGACCATAACGCTTTGGCTATACTGGTAGTGAGACGTCGATGGATTCAGACTGGCCTTGGTTTGAGATTTGCATTCGGCAGCTGGAATCGGAGAGTGACTGGAATCGCTCGAGTGTCCCGAGTCGGATCCCGAAGTCCAGCTGAATGTTCTCTCTCGTCTGCTTGACGTTTGAGGTCTACTTGTTGGCGACTGGCTGGATGTTTGTGTCAAAGCTGGCGAGGTGTTTGAATTCTGTTCCTCTTGGAAGAAAAGTCTGTTCACTTCGTTGTAAATATCAGCGCCCGGGACAATGCACGTCTCTGTGACCAGTTTCTCGAAATTATCTGCCATATGTCTTCTCTCAACCATCTGAGCCAAACCCAAGTAGTCCGAAAATGGGTTGTAGAGTGAGAGGTTGCCACTGTTGTAAGGGGTAGAGCTGGGATTTGGTGAGAAGGCTCCATGATTTATAGATTTACTGCTTTCAAGGCTCGTTGTCGGCTGGTTTGTCTGATCCAAAGGCACTGGCAGAACAGAAGAGCCAAAGGGAGGCAAATTTAGCCCCAAAATAGGGTTGTAAAATTTGTAGGATGCCATCTGCAATGCAATTCCCAAAATGATTATCAATTTCAAGATCAAACTCGTATAAATTGCATAAATTGTGACGCTAACGAGTTAAATTGTAGGAAAGCTCCAAGCTCGGGTTTAACAATTGGGTTTCACGTTTCAATCGCCACAAAAATGATTCAAAATAATCAATTCGTTGAAAAAAGCTGACACAACCACGCAACAGGATTTGCAGAACGAACTGTGAGAAGAATGTTAATTTGAAATTGGGCGGGTGATTTCAATGTTGAATTGAAAAATGAATTTAGTTTTGTTCGAGACTTGTGCTTCGATTTTCTCGTCTATGTTTAAGAGAGGAACAAATTACTGCTCTTTTTCTGCTCGTTTTATGAGTCACTGAATTGAAGAAAAAACTACTGCGATTGAATAAAGAAAGAAAAATTGCAATAAAGTTAACAGATATAGAAAAGTTTTGTTTAACTCAACTTACTACAATAATGAAAAGAAATTGGCGCTGCCAGTTAAAAAAAAACGAACAAAATAGGATTAATATGATACGCCAATAAATCGGGGAAAATTTTCAATCTTCAACTAAATAAATATGAAGTAAATGAACTTATGGTCAGTTTATTGTCGTACTGAAAAATACAGCGAGTAATTTTGTAGTAAAAATTCAAACTTAAACGTAGTAAATACTCAATTAGTGCATAACTATTATATCATATCAGCCACTAAAAAGTTAATCAGATGACGATGACGATATGATGATGGTCGTTTTTATTACTTCAGCGATTCGGTTTAACTCAATAGAATGGTCGTTTTTGCTCCAGTAGCAGTAGGTCGATCGATAATTGAAAAATTACAAATCGAAGTTTGTTTTGGTTCAGTTTCAGTTTATATGAGCCGTTTTGTTTCTAGTTGTAAAAATTAGTTAACTGACTATCTGTAATCTGATTGGCTGATTTTCATTTCTACTTCGAGCAACCAAATCCAGGCAAGCTAGTTCAGTTCGTAACTTTTGTATTCTTTCGAAAAGAAAGCTAACTTAACTGTGTAAACAAGTGCTCAAACAGCAATTAACAAAGCACCCCCTGGTGCCTGGATACACCACAACAAAGAAGGACCAAGAGGAGTTAAGAGGGGGAATACGAATAAGGACCTCTCAACTGGTTCAAGTGGGAGACAACAGGAAACCTGGATTGGCCAAACCAGCGGGGTCATGCAATAATTTGCCAGTTCGAGTTTTCGACAGTCCAAGCCAGAGAAAAATCAGTTACATAATCACGTGATGACGTTAACGTATCGGCAAGACCCACACACTATCCAAATAAAGCTCGCTTATCGCTGGTTTCTCACATTTATGGTTGGAGTATTTTTTCTTTAAGCTTAAGAGTTACCACCTTGCTCTTCATTTTTTTCTGCAATGATGTTAGGCGAGGAGCTAAGATTTTCTCGATCGATTGTGTGATCTCAAAGTTCGGGTCTTTTCAATTATACATTCCCCCCCCCCCCCCCCCACCCCTAAGAATGAAAATGACAATTTTTCGAATAAAATTGGACTAATTTTACTAGTAAATACAGGGCTGATATCTCGAATCCCGAGCGTTAAATCCAGCTAGAGAATGGCAAAAAATGCGAAAATAACGGCAGTTAAAAACGCATTTGGCATCCTTTTAATGAAAGTTATGCGCATGAAACTGGCGAAAAATGGGAAAAAATGGCAAAAAAATCAGTTTGTTATTAACTGTATTTAGTAACGGTTAAGTAACAAAACTGTTCGTATCAGTGCGGAGCCATAAATGTTCCGACTGCCTTTTCAGGCCTATGGAGCAGTGTTCGCCTAAAAAAATTATGAAAATTTCAAAAAAAAATTGAAATTTGGGACAATTAACGCGCGATAGAATTCGCGCTATTAACGCGTAAAAGCGGAGATTTAATCCGTCTCATAAATCGTTCCAAATTGGTTGAACGAAGCTTATTTGCAATAATTGATTTGTTACAAGGAACAAAATCTATCTTCTTATACTTTATATGGCGTGTGGGGGGATGATTTTCCAAAAAAAATTTCAAATTTTACAAAAAAAAATTTCATTTTATTTTATTTCATTTAATTTTTTTTGTTATTACTGCTGCTCCATAAACTTTAAAAGGCAGTCGGAACATTCAGGGCTTCGCCCTGATACGAGCAGTCTTGTTTAATTTTGAAATGTTTTATTTCTCCCACACGCCTTATAAAATACAAATTGATAAATTTTGCCTCTAGTAACAAAGCAATTATGACAACTAGCCTGCTTCAACCAATTTGAAATGATTTCTAAGACGGATTAAATCGCCACTTACGCGTTGATAGCGCATAATATATCATGAAAAATAATCACAGGTAAATTTGAGCCAAAGACAGCAAAAATTTTCGGCTGATATTAAAAAATGCTGTCAAAAATGGCTAGTTTAAAATTCGAAGTTTATCTGGAGAATATAAACCGAGCACAAATATTCCGTCACTTTATTCGAAAGTCGGAACCAAAATGCTTCGTTTTACCAGTCCAATAATAATATCGCGCCTTTTTTTAGTAACAGCGTCATATTTATATTTAAAAAACTTTCGAGTCAATTTTTAATCATTTAGGGGAGCGAGGAAGCACACCAGCAAACACCTCCAATTTCAACGATTAAGCATATTTGATTTTTGTAGTTATCAAATTATCTTCAACTTTTCGCTATAAAGAATAAAATGAAAATATTCGCACGGCAAAATTTCTTTTCCGAGCTTTTCGAAAACACTGCAAAATTAGGAACCACCGCAGTTGCGCAAAGATGTTGCGAGCTCGCCAGCAGAGCGTAGAATAGTTTACAAAAATTAGAGTCTGTTTTTACCACGAAGATCCAAAAACAGTCCCAATTGATTTTGAAAGCCGGTAGGACGCGAACTTTCTTGTGTTGAAAAAAATAAATCTTAAAATAGTGACCACCGCAGTCGCAGTAGCATTTTGTGAGCTTGCCAACAGAGGGTAGGACTCTATGCAAAAAATAAAGTCGTTTATAACGGCGAAGCTTAAACTGACAGTCGGCTCAGTAGACTTTGATTGTTTAAAACAAGTTTGGAGTGTTTTGTATTGGACTGTTATTTTTGGTTTTTTATCATGATCTTGTAGAGTGTTTTGTATTGGGATGTTTTATGTAAAATTGTTTAATTATGCATCCTAAATTTACATATCATTTACTTTATAAGCAACACAAATGCGAGCGCAGGAGAAGAGAACTCAATTGCTTTTTGACACTTTTGAAATGCATGTTTTATTCAGAAATTGTTCGCAAAAACGATGCATGCTTAGAAGGGGCGGGGAGGGGTTGAAACTTTAGAAAGTCCAATAAGGAGGGAAATAGTTAACAGGATTCAAAAACAGTTCGATTTTGGAAAGCTTGACCAAAAAAAATGCGGTTTTTGGCGCGCTTTTACCCCAAAATTGTAAATTGTAAGTTGGAGCCGAGGGCGCTTTTGGAAAACTAAGAGCTGCTCAGCCAAAATGATAGTGCTAAATAGCCAGGGATTTGAGGTGTACCAACATTCATAACCTTGAATAAGGAAGCATAAGATTCAATAATATTTCAATTATTTGCCATTTTCATTTTCAGTACTTTTTCTGTGACATATGCAACTTTTGTAAAGTTGTGGGGTTTCCAAGTTGCCAATTTGGCCAATTTAGGATAGTTATTTTGCTTTGATTTCAAGTTGACTTGAATCGTGAAATCAAGTTTTTTTACGAGATTATGCTTCGAGTTTTTTTACGAGATTTGTGCTTCGACAATATCTTCGAATAAATCAAAAAAGATTTTTTCACTTGTCTCTTATACTTTTAAAAGTCACCGATTTACAGAAAAAAACTGCTGCAATTGAACAAAAAAAGCAAATTGCAATAATATTAATAGATAGAGGAAACTTTTGCATTGCTCAGCTTTCAGTGATGAAAAAAAAATGGCGTTGCAGAAAACTTTATGCAAAAAAACAAGGAAAACATTTGAATTTTTGATAATATAAAAGGAAGTAAAAGAAATTATGATCAGCTTGGCTCAGTTTAGCTCTAGGGAAGTTGGTTAAGTTTGTAATTTTTTTATTAATTCGACAAGAAAGCTAACTTAAACCTCAGTAAGTGCTCAAACAGTAATACCATTGCACCCCACTGAAGCCTGGACACACCACAACAAAGAAGGATCAAGATCAAGGTGAATTAAAAAAGGGAATGCGAGCAAGAACCTCTCAGCTGGTCAAAATGGAAAATGAAAGGAAGCTTGGATTGGGCAAACTAGCGGGGTCGTGCCACAATTTGTCAATTTAAAAAATGTTGGCAGTCCTAGCCAGAGGAAAAATAGTTACATACATCACACGATGACGTAACGTAACGGCAAGATCCACACACTATCAAAACATAGCTCACTTATCGCTAGTTTCTCGCGTTTACCGTAAATTTTTTTGCAACTGTAAAATGTATTATTTAATGTTTGACCGTTTAACCTCTGAGCTATACTGATCGATGACCTTTACCATATTAATTTAAATACACCTGCCAAAAGCGCAATGGCTTTTGGTAGATTTGGAATTTGTTCACTATCTTTTGTGATATGCAACAAATCATCAGAAAACGAATTCAACCTTTTTAACCTCTTTTACTTAAGATAGATACCACCGTCTTTTATTTAGTCCTAGATAAAAGCCTACAATTACTTGTAGGAATCTTATTCAACCTTAGTCTTAATCTAGTCTTAGTTCAAGTTACCACTCTTAATCAATAAGGAGTGTTATCCTAATTTTTAAACATGGCGCAGTCAAACGAGTCGAACCTACCAGTACTAGAGTTTTTTTGGAACAACTCATCGAATGAAAATCAACACGACTGGGAAAGGTGGTCGGAAAAGTTTCAATTGACATTTATCGCGAAAGATTCCGTAGACATCGAAGACATAATTAAACCACCGGTAAGAAACGAACTAGTATACCCTACGGCAGAACCATCGGACCCGTCCGATGATCAAGCCCGTCGGGCCGAAAAATAAGAACACCACCGAATAGCTGTACAAAACTATAACGAAGAATTGAGAAGGAGAAGGGCAGAAGACAACGCAAAATTCAACGGACTCCAAATCGGAGACATTGACAAGAAATTAAAATCACAGTTATACCTAGCACTCGGAAAAGAAGGACAGAAATGCTTCTCACATAAAAATCCTGGGAAAAGAATACTGGATATTAATTTTGCAGAATTCTGGGAATTACTCAAAACTACTTTTACGATCACTACAAGCTTAACATACGAAAGATTTAAATTTTTTGACCGAAGACAGAAAGAAAACAAGTTTTTAGAAAAATTCCACGAAACACTTTCTGAACTGGCAAAAAATTGTAAACTGGGGAACTCAAGTCAGAATTAGTCAGAGACATTTTCATCACAAATATGAGAAACGTCGAGATTCAGAAGAAACTATGTATAGAATACTTGACCCCAGAAAACGTACTATCCTATGTATTAGTTCACGAGAAAGGCACTAAAATCCATCAACAGTACCTAAAATTCCCAACTTATAATGCGGTACCGAGACCACAATACATAAGGAATGAACCAACCTTAAACATCGTCGAAAATAACAAATGCCGCAACTGTGGTCAGCAATTCAAAAAAGGACATTTAACCATATGCCCGGCCAGAAACAGAAATTGCAATACGTGCGGACGCAAAGGGCATTTTGCTAAGCACTGCAGGAGTTCAGCAAGGACACAAACAAACATCGTTGAACAGAATCAAGTACCACAGGAAAACGAAAATACCCGGGCCAACCCGCAGGAAAATCCCGAATTTGGAGTCAACTTAGACGATTTTTTAGTTCTAGCTGTAGACACGGATAGCCAAATAAATGCAGTAGAAGACAAGATAGAACGTGGAGTGCGAACAGTATTCAACCACGAAGGACTAGAACTAAAAAAGACACTAAAGGTATCTCTGGGAAATTTCAACCCTTACTGTACTGAAATT